TACTACCAAGCCGTTACGTATCTCAAGCAGCGTCTCAACTAGAGTTCGATCCATAAAGAAAACTAAGAGCTTTGGAGCTACTTAAAAGTTTTATAATGTACTGAAAAATATTTCAAACGCTGCAAAATTTCGGAAGGATTTATTTTCGCATGCGTTTTTGACTGAAATTAAAATCGTCCGAAATTGTATCGCAAGTGATGTAATAGCACAAAAAGGTTGATTTCGAAAGTCGTAAGAGAAATCTTCAAAAACGTGCCGAGTGCGGTGTTTCCAGATCTTCGGGTGACTCGTAATTCATTTCCTTTGTTTGTACTTCAGTTCATCATAATCGCTTCTCCCAAAATTGGTTTGCGTGTAATCAGAACAGTCTGTCATCAGGACATTCCATTTTAGAATCGCACTATTATTCATGCCTTTGTTCAAATGAAAGCTATTTAGCACTTCTTTTGAGTCTGTAGTGAGTCCTAAGGTATTCTTATTAAAAAGAAAGTTTTCGAGTACATTGCTTACAAAATATTTCGGACACTCGAAGTGTCCGAAAATTGATTCGAAATATTTACAGTATAGTGGAATAGTGGAGGCTGACACTAAGGAACTGGCATATTAAAGAGGCTCAGTCACGGCATTTTGAGTTATTTTGGCCATGGACAAAATTACCTTTAAAATGAAGGAAACCTGAAAATAATAGTTAACTAAGATAGAAAAACACCAAAGAGATAATACTAAACCATAAGGGAATAAGGATGGTTTAGGATGGAGAAGATTGACACGGATTGCAAACGACGAACTTGAAATATTTAAGCTAAACTTTTCAAAATGCGGAATCGTGACGTAGCTCCTTCAAGTGTCAAATGAGCGCCATGATGCAGGAAATGATATATTTGCGGCAAGCGTGGAGACTTCATTTGAACACTCTAGAAGAACTTGATCGAGCACGGGGGACTGGGTACAAAATAGGAAGATAAGAGACAAAAGATCCATAAAATTCACTGCTTTATTGAGTGCATTACTGCTGCTCATTTCGATAATTTTATAAAATATACAGCTAAGCAAACCCCTCGCCATGTTTCCCAATACTTCGTGTAAATAGACTGTATCATTTCTATTCCCGTAACGCAAATTCTTCATATCTTTCCACCATAATCGCCTTCACATATCTCACAATTTCTGGTAAATCTTCAGTTCCTGTTGCCCAAAGATTTCAAACCCGAGTTGCACGACGGTAAATCTTGTTTGCACCAGCCTTTCGAAGGTCACCAACGTTTGACGGCGGAACACAGTTTCTCGGTCTAAAACATTCTACAGTTGACGATTGCAATGTCCGTAACTGTCGCTGAACTCTTTCGTTTTCCATCGTTTCGCTCACGCAGCCTCCAGCATTCAAACATGAAAGCCTCTCTGGTTCAAAGTAGAAAAGGGAAACAAGTGTGTTTAATAACAGAGATACAGCCAATTCCAATGTATTCACTCACATTCACAAGTAATGAAATTAAAAAAAGGCGTCCGAGTATTCAAGCTTATACGAATACAGCGTGACCTGTTGTTTGCAAATGCTACGAGCTTAACACGCAAGGTTCCCATTATTGATATCCGATCAGGAAATTTGAACTTGTAATGATTTTCTGAAAGCCGAG